CCTTTCCCCTAGCCCAGATATATTGCACTCGGCTGGTCTTGTGGGGTGCCACCAGCATTAATTCCTAAACAGCCCCCTATTAGGTTGTGGTGAATTAATAGAAGGCTGCTTTGTGGCTAGAGCACACCTGTCCCATCCCCTGGGACATGGTATCAGCATCCGCCGAATTAATGTCCTTAGCCATGCGCCACTCATTTTCTATTCAGCCCCTGCTGGCAGCAAGGAAGTCTGCCATAGCTCTCTGCATCAGATGCAGTTAGATCACTTGGTCACTCCCATACAGGGGTGCAGCAGCAGTGCCCTCCCTCAGAGGAAGCTGCCTGTTGCATCTCTGTAGGAGTCCCTGCTCCAGTCAAGGGACTTCCTTAGCTCTTGCAGAAAGAAACACAGTTGATGGAGTCCTTAATCTTGCACTGTTTTGGGTGGTGGAAAGAAACCGTGCCCCAGCTTTAATAAAGGATGAATAAAGAATGTGCCTCGTTTATCAGAAGTGCGGGAAACTCTGTACAAACTTGCCTGTTTTTGATAGTATAGTTCATGTTGTCTTCAGTGTTGATACTAAAGCCATAGGGCAGCCGGAACTGTTTATGTGTTCGCTTTGGGATTCTGCAACTAGAATGAATTAAACAAAGCAGGCAGTGTGTATCCAGTTTTGAGTTGGGAAGAATTTTTTGTTTTAAACTGAGCCTAGGGTGGTGGAAGGGACGCAGGTGGTGCTGTGGTCTAAACCACAGAGCCTAGGGCTTGCTGATCTGAAGGTTGGCGGTTCGAATCCCCGAGATGGGGTGAGCTCCCGTTGCTCGGTCCCTGCTCCTGCCAACCTAGCAGTTTGAAAGCACGTCACAGTGCAAGTAGATAAATAGGTACCGCTCCTGCGGGAAGGTAAACGGCATTTCCGTGCGCTGCTCTGGTTCGCCAGAAGCGGCTTAGTCATGTTGGCCACATGACCTAGAAGCTGTCTGCGGACAAATGCTGGCTCCCTTGGCCTATAGAGTGAGATGAGCGCACAACCCCAGAGTCGTCTGCGACTGGACCTAATGCTCAAGGGTACCTTTAGGGTGGTGGAAAGAAAAGAGTGAACTGGAAACCTAGATGAAATGGGTGGTTTCAAGATTGTGGTAAGGTGTGTTGGACTTCTTGAGGGGTCGGGTGTTGGGAGAGAGAATACAGTACCTGTGGGAGCCCATGAAATGGGCAAACTGGGATTGCCGCCTCTCTCATAATCGCTGCCTCAAAGACAACAGACGAGTCTCATTGCTTCCCATACACCTGTGAGCTTTCCCTCTGGTGGCATCTAGAATCTTGCTCTTCCTTTTAAACAGAAACCCACAGTGCTCGGCGGGTGCAGGGAACCTTTGGCTTTCTGGGTGCTGCTGAACTACAACTCCCATCGGCTGCAGTTATCACGGCCAGTCGCCAGGGCTGATGGGAGGTGTAGTTTAGCAAACACCTGGAGGGCAACAGGTCTCCCTATACGTGATGCTCAGACCCATGCATACGCTGCTAAATTCTCTGCTGTGTTGCACAACTACAGCCATAATAAGTATTCCAGTGAAAGCGTCGGACGGGTTTCTGCAGGTGGGTGCCTTTCCCTTGTTTATACGCCACACAGTGAACGTCCAGCAACCTTAAAAAAATACTGTGTACTAGTCAGGTTTGTCCTTTCTTTCCTTCTGCCAGCTACAGTTTTGACAGGCTTATTAAAACAGGCTGTACCAATTTAGGAATGCAGACGTCAACAAGCCTGTTTGAAGGAGAGGTTTTCCAGTCAGCAAACAGCATAGCTGGTGAAATTGCTGTTGGCATAAAACAGCTCACCCAAAATATATCTTTTTCTTTTTAATCCATCCCTCGTTGCCCCTTGTCTTGTTTCTATCCTCTCAGGTTGTAAATGCAAATTAAAATTAATCTTGGGATTATGATTGTTATTGATGCAGAAGCTCACCCTAGCATGCAGGAATTTGCAGCTTGCGAAGGCGAGATACAAATTTCACGGGTTGAAAAATCCTAAACGCCGCCACCTTGTTTTGCTTGGCCTTGGCTTTCGGCCTCAAAATCTCAGCTACATCTTTTAAAAACAAGTTTCCACTCCTTATATTTAGGTTGAACATGAATTGGATTGTTTTAAAGGTAACCTTAGATGCATGCTAAATGTTTCTGTTCAAACGCTACAGGGGTTTTTGGAAAGCCCGGCGTATAACCTCACAAAGCAAGTCTGCAGGAAGATTAAGATCTGTCCGTGCTTTAAATAACAGCCCTTTTAGTCTCGCCTAAACAGCCGCTTCAGTTCTCAGAACACGGATTGCGTAATCCCGATGGCAAATACAGAGTAGTAATGTAACCTTAAATGCATGTTGATCGTGTTTGCAAGGTCAAATCCTAGGCACAGCCTGGCCATGTGTCTTTGGGAAGCGGATGTTTTTTACCGCAGTGGGTTTTTAAAGATTGGCCTTGGTTGCCCAGTTGCTAATTGGGACCTCTCAGATGATTATTTGAAGTGGCGAATAAAAACATGGTTGTATTTTTGGGGAGGAGATGCTCCTTCTTAAAAGCAGCCTCTTCTGTCACGTTATTCTGACACTGGCACCATCTACAGGCTCCAGGTTAGCATTACACGTACTAAATAATCTCTTCAATATACAGTGTTATCTCTTCCCAGATACTCAAAAGGTGGCATTTCACAGCCAGTAAAAGAGCAAACCCAGCATATAAATGTCTCTTCGTTGGGCTTCATAAACGGCGGAGGAATCCACCGTCTTGTTGCTCTCTCCCTACTTAATGGAATAGTGAAAAATTAACAAGGGGCTGTTCCGCTCAGGTTTTGGCTTTCTTTGGCAGAGAGTTAAAGCACGCGGGTGGCGCTGTGGGTTAAACCACAGAGCCTAGGACTCACAGATCAGAAGGTCAGCGGTTCGAATCCCCGCGACGGGGTGAGCTCCCGTTGCTCGGTCCCTGCTCCTGCCAACCTAGCAGTTCGAAAGCACATCAAAGTACAAGTAGATAAATAGGTACCGTTCCAGCGGGAAGGTAAACGGCGTTTCCGTGCGCTGCTCTGGTTTGCCAGAAGTGGCTTAGTCATGCTGGCCACATGACCCGGAAGCTGTACGCCGGCTCCCTTGGCCAATAAAGCGAGATGAGCGCCGCAACCCCAGAGTCAGTCACGACTGGACCTAATGGTCAGGGGTCCCTTTACCTTTAAGATATGCTGTATTTGCAAATATGCAAGGAGAGTGTGAGTGGAGGCCAGCAGGTAGAAAACCCACTACCCCACATCCATACAAACATAGGAAGGGGCCTTATCCTTGGTCCATCTAGCTCCACTCTGCACTGAGTGGCAGCCGTTTTTCTGGGGTTTCAAGCAGGTGTCTGTTTCCAGGTCTACCTGCAGATACTGGGGCTTGAACCTGGAAGCTTCTACCTGCAAGGCAAATGCTCTACTGGCGCTCCGCCTCTTTAGGGAGAAGATTTATCAACACTGGGTGAACTATTTAGAGTAAGAGTAATAAAAAGAAATCGTTATTTAGGGGAATTGAATTTAATTCTAAATTATATTCCGGATACATGGGAGATTTCAAGGGGTAAAAAAAAATGGATGTACCATGCTATATTAGAAGCAAAAAAAACTTGTTTTGATGAATTGGAAGAGCCACAAAAAGATTCCATTGAGCACATGGATTGATAATATGGACAGATTAGCTGCATATGAACGAATTGCATGTCAGCGCAAATTAAGAATGGATAAATATGAAGAAATCTGGAATGAATATTTAAGCGATAAGGCAGATAGTGGGGGGAAGTGGGAGGAGAGAGAGGTGGGGAAATATTGTTAAAAGGGTGCAGTCATAGGTATATCAGTGTATTTAAATCTGAATTGTCAAATTGTGTTATTGTTATTATGGTTTTTGTTGTAGTGTCTTTTGCGGTTGTTGTTTGTATCAAAAAAATGATTAATTAAAAAAAAAACACTGTTGAAAACATTTGGAAGAACTTTCCAGCAGTAAGAGCTGTTCAGCTATGGAACAGACTCCCATGAGAGGTGGTGGACCCTCCTTCCTGGGAGGTTTTTAAACAGAGGTTGGATGGCCATCTGTCGTGGATGCTTTAACTGAGGTTCCTGCACCTCGGGGGTTGGACTAGATGACCCTTGGATGACTCTGGGCGTCCCTTGGCAACTCTAAGATACTGTGATTCTATGATTCTAACTCTGCAGTGGCGGCACTCACACAAGCAGCACCACGATGCTGTTAACCTCTTAGAACTCCTGATCCCTCAAAGATTACAGTGGTACCTCGGGTTAAGTACTTAATTCGTTCCGGAGGTCCGTACTTAACCTGAAACTGTTCTTAACCTGAAGCACCACTGTAGCTAATGGGGCCTCCTGCTGCTGCCGCGCCACCGGAGCACGATTTCTGTTCTCATCCTGAAGCAAAGTTCTTAACCCGAGGTACTATTTCTGGGTTAGCGGAGTCTGTAACCTGAAGCGTATGTAACCCGAGGTACCACTGTATTTCTTTCCAAATGTTCCCCATCCTTAGCTGTTGCATTCCCCTTTCCCCCTAATGTTTAGTTATATTTATTTAGCGCGGATTTCCACATTTGATCCATACGTTTCCATTCCAAGTGGGGTCATGGGTGTGCACTAGTCAGTGAAAACAAAACCATGGTTTCATATCCTGGCTTGTTCACTACTTACAAACTGAAGTTCCCTGAGGTTGGATGCAACGGGGAACTGTGGTTTGTTTAATAGCAGAAGCAGATGCTTGTGATCTCCTTTTCGTGGACCCAAAAGGAGAGTGCAAGCCCAAGTGTCATTCAACCATAATCTTGTAACAGGAAACCATGGTTTCCCGTTGCATCTGAACCAGGCCAGTGTTTGCCTGGTTGACTGCATTTCTTAAACCTACAACAGCATTGGCTAGCCTGGGGGGTCCTGTGTTGAGTTGAAGATGTTTGCTTTCCAAAATGTAACCAATAACCCTCTTGAATTCTCTGTCTTTTAGGTCTTCCTGAACAGTACTACAGCCTCACTTGGTTCCTCAGCCCAATCCTGGGCTTGATCTTCACTCCTCTAATAGGTTCAGCTAGTGACCGCTGTACTCTCAGCTGGGGCCGCCGGCGGCCTTTTATCCTCGCCCTCTGCATTGGTGTTCTCTTTGGAGTTGCCCTTTTCCTGAACGGCTCCATTATAGGTAAATCAGGGGGTATTCTTGGGTCACTGTGCTGTCTGCTCAAATAAGCAGCAAAGGACCGCACTCCGCAGCCAGCTAAAAAAGTATTAATTGTGGAGATGCTGTGGGATTTTGCTACCGAGCACCTGAATTCTGTGACTGGAACAAGCTGCAGAAAGTAAAGTTGTCTTAATTTGCTTGGGTGGTATCCAGCATTAGCCCCCCTAATTAGTCCGGCTTGTTAATTTCTTTTTTTTAAAAAAAAGATATTTATTAAAAATTTTAAACAATTAAACAGATTTCACATACTTAGAAAATACAAAAGAAAATACATAGAAATACATAAGAAAAGAAAAGAAAAACATAAAAATCCTGTTTCTAGCTTGCTACCTTCATAACCCTCTTTCCTGACTTCCTCACATCTCCCTTTTCTGTGTTCTCTTTTAGAAAATCATATTCAGCAATATCTTACCCTCTTTTGAATCTTATTATTATTATACATTTCAACTATTATGTCACCAGTTTTTCCCTTCGTATCATTTAGTCAGGCTTGTTAATTTCAGTGCCTTAGCCTGAATGAATGAACTTTATTACGGTCACAGACCAGGATAAAAAAACAAAACAAAAAACAACAACATATAAATAAAATAGCAGTTAGGATTATTATTTTTTTAACCGATAATTGTTAGAGCAAATAAGGACAAAGAAACAATCATAGGATAAAACATCTGAATAAAATACAAGATTAAACGCAGGTAATGGGTGGGTAAAAACTGATAATTAAAACAGATAAGAACTAAAAACAAAAAAAACACGCAGTTAAAACAACTGTAAGAGCATAAGAACTAAAAGGCTCGCAGATAAAACAACTATAAGAGGCTGCAGAGTAGAAGCCTCTGAAATAGAGGACACTCACAACATTAGAAACTGATGTGCAAATATGGTTAAAACAGACAATTAAAACAATGTACAACAATAAACTATCCTAGGGAGTTGACTCAGAGTCACCCATGGAACCGAGTTTGGGGATTTTCATGCCGGACTATTTTGAGTTGGGCGATGGTCTGCGCCTACAGATTTGTACACAGAGCCTGGGTTTCTTCGCATCAGAAGCGACTGCCGGGCTTATCGTGATGGCTTGTGGTGGCTGCATTTGCAAGTTCACCTTCCCACCGATTCAGTGGTTACCAGCAAAATCCTAGCAGGTCTGAAACGACTGCAGCTCTTGGCATGGGAAAGCTGTAGGAACCTGTTCACAGGGAAATGTTTCCTGTTGTGCTCTGATTTCCCTTTAATGCATATCTGGCAAACATATCCTGTTTCCAGCATTATTTGAAAAGGGGGGGGGAGAAGGACAAAAATATCGTTTCGCTTTTTCTTGTTCTGTTCTTAGGCTGAGGGGGGGGGAAACACGGCAAGATCTAAAAATTGTTTATCAAATGACTAAAAGGGGGAAGAATAACTCTTTCCTTCATCTCTGTCGGCGCTGTTAGAGCAACACTCTGGGGAAACAATAGAAGCTGGGAATTTACCTTCTTTGGGGATTCAGCCTAAGGCGAACTCCGTTGGCAACTCTTCACATTTGCTTCACATTAGCCAAGGTGGTGCAGTGGTTAAGAGCGCAGGGCTAGGACGTGAGAGTTGTTGTTGTTTAGTCGTTTAGTCGTGTCCGGCTCTTCATGACCCCCTGGACCAGACCACGCCAGGCACTCCTGTCTTCCATTTCCTCCCGCAGTTTGGTCAAACTCATGTTCATAGCTTTGAGAACACTGTCCAACCATCTCATCCTCTGTCGTCCCCTTCTCCTTGCGCCCTCCATCTTTCCCAACATCAGGGTCTTTTCCAGGGAGTCTTCTCTTCTCATGAGGTGGCCAAAGTCTTGGAGTCCTCAGCTTCAGGATCCGTCCTTCCAGTGAGCACTCAGGGCTGATTTCCTTCAGAATGGACATGTTTGATCTTCTCAAATCCCCATTCGGCCATGAAGCTCACTGGCTGCGCTTGAGCCAGTCACACACTCTAAGCCTAAAGTAGTAGTAGTAGTAGTAGTAGTAGTAGTAGTATACCACCCTTCATTTGTAGATCTCAGGGTGGTTTGCAGGATAATAATGCAAGATAAAAACACAAATAACACAATAAAAACAATAACTAAACAAAACAGTACACACACACACCCCAGCTTGTTGTGAGGATAAAAGGGGGAGGAGGAAAACCCTGTACTGGAGCTCCTTGGGGGAAAAGCAGAATATAAGAAGGCTGATTGCCGAAGAATTGATGCTTTTGAATTATGGTGCTGGAGGAGACTCTTGAGAGTCCCATGGACTGCAAGAAGATCAAACCTATCCATTCTGAAGGAAATCAACCCTGAGTGCTCACTGGAAGGACAGAGCCTGAAGCTGAGGCTCCAAGACATTGGCCACCTCATGAGAAGAGAAGACTCCCTGGAAAAGACCCTGATGTTGGGAAAGATGGAGGGCACAAGGAGAAGGGGACGACAGAGGGCGAGATGGTGGGACAGTGTTCTCAAAGCTACCAACATGAGTTTGACCAAACTGCGGGAGGCAGTGGAAGACAGGAGTGCCTGGCGTGCTCTGGTCCATGGGGTCACGAAGAGTCAGACACAACTAAACAACAACCAAATTTGGAAAACAGTTAGTTCCCCCGCTTCTGTGCCATTCTCATCCTGAGGACGGGAGCAGCATCAAGTGCTCACGCTTTGTAAAATAGGCTCCCAAAGCTTATGGAAAGCGAATGTGTTGGAACTTACGAAGCTGTCCTCTGCAGGGAAAGGCTGTCTCTCTGCACTGATCTAGGGTCTTTCCCAGCCCTTCCCGGAGATGTCAGGTATTGCCCCTCACAGCTTCTGAATGCAGAGCTCACAGCCTCTCTCCCCTGCTTGACTTGAAGCACTTCCTCCCGCTCTGAACTTAGAAAGCCTGCAAGCTCTGATCTCTCTGAGGTGGTTCAGCCCATGAACATTCAATCTGCCCCACTAGAACATTCAGGGCTTTGCCTGCAATCGAGGACAAGCAAAACGTGTTATTTTAAAAGCCCCCCTCGCCCCCCAGCAAATGCTTCAAATCTTGGCAGCTCTGGGGTTTTTAAAAGAGTACATTCCTCACTCTGTGGTGCTGTTGTAGCCAAGCACATTTCATTACTTCCTCCTTTTTCTGTTTCGGTTTTTTTTTCCCCCACCTCCCACAAATTGCATAATAAAATTTTCAAACACCACCTTAACCTGGGCTGACCTTCTCGGCCAACTTTTGTCTGACAAGGGAAGAAGCAGGTAACCGAGAGCTCCCAAGGCAAAATAAAAATGTACTCATCAGAAACACATCATGTCAGTCCTAATAATAAATAATAATAATAATAATAATTTATTATTTATACCCCACCCATCTGCCTGGGCTTCCCCAGCCACTCTGGGCGGCTTCCAACAAAATATTAAAATACAGTAATGCATCAAACATTAAAAGCTTCCCTAAACAGGGCTGCCTTCAGATGTCTTCTAAAAGTCTGGTAGTTGTTGTTCTCTTTGACATCTGGTGGGAGGGCTTTCCACAGGGTGGGTGCATAGGTGTCAACGGTTCCCTTTTTTTAAGGGAAATTCCCTTATTCCGAATAGGATTCTTCGCTAGAAAAGGGAAAAGTTGTCAGCTATGGGCGGGTGCCACAACCGAGAAGGCCCTCTGCCTGGTTCCCTGTAACTTGGCTTCTTGCAGCGAGGTAACTGCCAGAAGGCCCTCGGCACTGGACCTCAGTGTCTGGGCAGAACGATGGGGTGGAAACAAGAACGATGGGGCAAAACAAGCCCTCAAACCAGCCCTGGCCTAACCCATGCCACAGGGTTGAAATGCCCAGCCAGAGCGGCCAAGGGATAATTCCAGCAGTTCGTCTTGGCAGCCAATCCATTAAGGAGATCCGTTTGTTTCCTTAATAATAAAAAGGACTGTTATTTTGTTCTTGGGTCGGTTCTTTACGAGGAAAAGAATAACGGAGAGAGAGAAAACGCCCTCCTTGTTTTCTTTGCTCTTCTTTCCTGCCAGGCCTGGCCATCGGAGATGTCCCAGACAAGCAGCCCATTGGCATCGTTCTCACTGTGCTGGGGGTGGTGGTCTTGGATTTCTGCGCTGATGCGACGGAGGGGCCGATCCGGGCCTATCTGCTGGACGTGGTGGACAGCGAGGAACAGGACATGGCGCTCAACATCCACGCCTTCTCAGCTGGTATGTGATTCTGTCTATTGTTTTCTGTAAGGAAACCTGCCCCAGCTTCTGTCCCAGGCATCTCCGGGTAGCATTTGGGAATGTCTCCTGCCTGGAACTCCAAAAAGCTGCCGCCAGCCAGTGTGGGACAGTACAGTGCTAGAAGGACCCATGGGTCTGACTCCATATAAGGCAGCTTCCTATGTCCCTTAAAAAAAAATTATTTCAATTTATTCCATAGAAGAGCATACTTAAACTTCCAACAGCACTTCCCTTTTAAGATTGTACCGTTTCCCAAGGTGGCTCAGTTGAGATGACACCAAACCATGGTTAAGGAAAGTCAACTGTCACCAGAGTTCTTTGGGGGGGGGGGGTTTGATCAGCTAGCAAAGCAAAGAAGCTTTGGTTTGAAGGAAACTTGAGAGAAAAATGCTCCTGGCTTTACTGTATGGTTGGAAGTTCAAACCACGCTTTGGGTTCCAAACCATGGTCAACCTGAAACCCTGGCTTGGCTTGATCGCTGAAATGACTGCTTTTGGCTCCATTCATTTGTCCGCAGCTGTGCCAGAAGCAAGGTCTGTCTGTTTGGCAAGCTGCGGTTCTCAGCTGAACTAAACAAATTAACTACATCATATTTATGGAGCTGCTGTTACCGGATGCGGAACCTGTGCCCCCATGGTTGATGGATTCCAAAAAGGAAGACCTTTCTCCTCTTTTATGTAGCAGCCAGATAGGAGGCATTGCTACCTCGCCCACTTCCATGGTTTCCAGCCTTTTCACAAAGCAGCCAGCGCATAACTTTTTGCCCATCTCTCCTTCCTTAGGTCTCGGAGGAGCCATTGGCTACATGCTGGGAGGCCTCGACTGGATGCAGACGTTCTTCGGGGTCATCTTCGTCTCCCAGGAGCAAGTCCTCTTCTTCTTTGCCGCCATCATCTTCTCCGTCTCCGTCGTCCTCCACCTTTGCAGCATCGAGGAGGAGCAATACAACCCCCAGCAGGACAGGATTGACGACGAGGCCGACACCCTTTCGAGCGTCAAGCTGAGCGGCAGCCTCCCTCCCCTGAGCCGCCTGAACGTCATCAGCGAGGAAGACCATTACAGGAGCTCCATGTACCGGGACGAGGTGCAGTCTGAGCAGGACCTCAACATGGACTTCCTGGACGTGGACATTGTCCGCAGCAAGAGCGACTCTGTCCTGCACATGCCCGACGCCACCTTGGAGATGGAGTCCGAGCTGCTTTTCCTCCACGAAATCGAGCCTTCCATCTTCCAGGACTCTTCCTTCCCCAACACCCCGCACAGCGCCAGCCAGGAGTACATGAAGTCCAAATTCAACCGCCTGTCTGCTTTCCTCAGGGAGAACGAGAAGGAGGAGGACATGTTACTTGATAATCACTTGAACGAAGCCAAAGCCCCCAACAGCAACGGCTCCCTACCAAAAGACCTCCTGAACGGGCACGCCAGGATCGGCATGAAGCAGTCGAGCACCTCCAACTCCATGCGCAGGCGCAAGCACATGTTCTACCGGCAGCCTTCCCACACCTTCTCCTACTACGGCAAGATCGGCTCCCACCGCTACCGCTTCCGGCGGGCCAACGCCATCGTGCTGATCAAGTCCTCGCGGAGCATGAACGATATCTACGACATGCAGAAGAGGCAGCGGCAGAGGTGCCGGCACAGGAACCAGAGCGGAACCACCAACTCCAGCGGCGACACCGAGAGCGAGGAAGGCGAGACCGAAACGACCGTCCGGCTCCTGTGGCTGTCCATGCTGAAGATGCCCCAGGAGCTCCTCCGCCTCTGCGTCTGCCACCTCTTGACCTGGTTCTCCATCATCGCCGAAGCCGTGTTCTACACCGACTTCATGGGGCAGGTCATTTTCAACGGCGACCCCAAGGTGAGTCGCAAAGCTTGCCTCCGCCACATGTTCTACTTACTGAGTCACTCCTCCACTCCATAGATATTTCGCATCGCTCTGCAAATTAGCTCAGCCCAAGCAGAGGGCGCTGCAAAGAAATTTCCCAGGTTTGTCGGGGTCCCAGGTTTATTTGCCTTGGAATGTCGCCTCCAGGCAACCTGGCAGGCGAGGGCTTTTGGAGTTTGGTGCTTTGTGGCCTAAAACTGTATTGCTTTATGTCCGATTTGGTTTCAGTTTCACTCCTTTTATCGTTCCAAGTTTCTTGAGAATCTTTCTTTGTAACGTAGGTTGAAAATAAGCCAGATGAATAAGCGAAAGTGTAAATCCTGGCCCAATTGCACTGTCTGCCGATTCGTTTCCGGGCCCAATTCAAAGTTCTGGTTTTGACCCGTAAAGCCTTAAATGCTTCAGGACCAGAATACCTCAAGGACCACCTCTCCCTATAGGAACCAGCTTGGACCCTGCAATTGTCTTCTGAGGCTCTTCTTGTGTGCCTCCTCCGCAAGAGGTTCAGAGACCAGCTACACGAGAGCAGGCCTTTTCTCCTGTGGCTCCATTTGTGGAATGCTCTCCCCAGGGAGACTCGTCTGGCACCTTCATTAGATTTTTAGGGACCATGCGAAAATGTTCCTCTTCAACCAGGCCTTTGGCTAATTAATATTCTGTGTCCTTTTAAATATATTGGGGAGGGATATTTCTTTCTTTCTTGTTTCTATAATCAGTTTGATGTTTTTATGTTCTGAGCCGCCCTGAGATATCCGGATGAAGGGCTGTATGCAAATTTAATAAAACCAACTAATCAATCAATCTTTGGCTAGGAAGAGAAGTGCAAACATTGACACTTCTATGCTTTTGTTTATAGTGTGGCCTTTGCTTAAATCTTTATTGCATGGGTAGGCAAACTAAGGCCTGGGGGCCAGATCTGGGCCAGTCGCCTTCTAAATCCAGCCTGCGGACGGTCCGGGAATCAGCTTGTTTTTACATGAGTAGAATGTGTCCTTTTATTTACAATGCATCTCTGGGTTATTTGTGGGGCTTAGGAATTTGTTCATTCCCCCCAAAAAATATAGTCCAGCCCCCCACAAGGTCTGAGGGACAGTGGACTAGCCCCCTGCTGAAAAGGTTTGCTGACCCCTGCTCTTTTGCTTCACTGCAGGCCCCTTCGAATTCCACCGAACTGCATGCCTACAATGCCGGCGTTCAGATGGGCTGTTGGGGTTTGGTCATCTATGCCGCTACTGCAGCTGTGTGTTCAGGTAAGAGGTTCTGCGCCAGCGGCTGAAGCTCTGTGCACCCCAGACCAGAGAAGCCGTGTGTGGCTGACAGATAAGAGAATCGAGGAAGGGGACTGTGCAGGGGAAATTAGCCAAGGAAGGCCCTGGCCATGAAGTGCTTTAATGAGGGCGAGTTGGGCGGCTAATTGCAACCAGAGCGCGGAGCGCTTTTCTCTAATGGCGACACGCTTGGCCTCCTTTTTGCAGCCTTGCTACAGAAATACTTGGACAACTACGACCTCAGCATCCGAGTGATCTACATCCTGGGCACTCTGGGCTTCTCCATTGGCACGGCAGTGATGGCCATGTTCCCCAATGTGTACGTCGCCATGATCATGATCAGCTCCATGGGCATCGTTTCCATGAGTATATCCTACTGCCCCTACGCCCTTCTAGGGCAGTATCACGACATCAAGCAGGTAGGTGGCCGTGGGCCGGGTGTTGGGGAACGTGAGTTGGGCAAGAACCAAATGGACAGATGTAGTCAGACCCCAGATCCATCCAGCCCAGTCGCTGTCTGCTGCAGCCTTCCCTGACCAGGTGTCTTGGACTACATTTCCCATCAGGCCCAGCCAGCACAAAGGGGGTTTGATGCTTTGAAGGCATCCCACGGCATACACAGACCTGCAGAGTCAGTCTTTAAGCTCTGGAGAGCCTTCATGGAATGGGAAGAGAGGGAGACAAGCCCGTCAAATTGTAGTTTGCAGCTGGAAAGCCCAGTATCCAGCAAGCAGCACTTCAGGCTGCTTTTGGCCCGAGGATTGCCAGTTCCTCATACATATACATATACATATACATATATATATATATACATATACATATACATATACACACACAAACATATATTCTGTTATACAGTTTAAAATACTCATTTTAACATCATTAAAATATCAATGACTTCCGTTCTTCTCCTTCCATGGTTTGTTTTTCATATCATAGATTCCTGCGTATTTTACAAAAACTAAACCATTCAATATTCCATCAATACATCCATCAAACCTTATTTACACTGTCAAATTTATCTTAATGCTTCCAACCTTTTCAGGTGTGCACAGCTCCCCCCATATATTCAATAAACGTTTTCCAATCTTCTCTAAACGTATGTTCTTCTTGTTCTCTACTTCCATATGTTAAATCTGCAAGCTGTGCATATTCCGTCAACTTAAGTTGCCATTCTTCTTCAGTAGGGACCTTGCTTGTTTTCCATTTTGGGGCTAACAGAACACAGGCTGCAGTAGTTGCATACATAAATAACCTTCTTTTTTTGACACTTGGGAATTTCGTTCTGAATTGTCCCCAACAGAAAGCACTCTGGGTTTTTTGGAAAAGTAATTTTAAACATTTCCTCCCCCCCATTCATTATAGATTAGTTCCCAGTACAGTGGTACCTCTGGATACGAACTGGATCCGTTCTGGAGCCCCGTTCGCATCCTGAAGTCAACACAACCCGCGTATGCGCATGCACGGGTCGCGATTTGCTGCTTCCGCGCATGCATGTGGCATCATTTTGAGCGTCTGCGCAAGCGGCGAAACCCAGAAGTAATGCATTCCGTTACTTCCGGGTCGCCGCGGAGCGCAACCCAAAAGTGCTCAACCTGAAGCAACTTCAAGCCAAGGTATGACTGTACTCTTTTACAAGTCCACCACATATGAAAGAACGTTCCCTCCACCTCTTTGCAGTGCCTGACCACAGACATAGAGGACTTGTCCCCAGGGTGTCAGTCCCCAAAGCAAGCTGCTTCAGATATTGCAACGCGACGTGTGCTCTGCTACCCGATTCCCCGTTTTGTTGATAGCATCTCCTGTCCCTTTCTCTTTCAGTATATCCACCATAGCCCTGGGAACTCAAAGCGAGGTTTTGGCATAGACTGCGCCATCTTGTCCTGCCAAGTCTACATCTCCCAGATCCTAGTGGCCTCTGCGCTGGGAGGAGTGGTGGATGCCGTGGGCACCGTGCGGGTCATACCCATGGTGGCGTCGGTAGGGTCTTTCCTGGGCTTCCTGACGGCCACGTTCCTGGTGATTTACCCCGACGTCGGCGAGAGCCCGAAGGAAGAGCAGAAAGGCCTGGCGCCTCCCGAGGCGGCCGAGAGCGGCGGCGACGCGGATGGGGAGAAGCCGACCGTGATCAAGCTCTCTCGGAAAGAAGCCTCCGCGACAGAAGTGGAAAACGAGTCGGTCGTTTGATCGAACCGCCGCCATTTGCACACATTCCAAGCTGTTCCAGGTGCACGAATCGGGACGTTTTTGCAAAGCAGAATCTGAACTTTTCCAAGGACATCCTTGCTGCAGCATCGGATTGAAATGGTTCTTTCATGCAAAAATGTAGATGAAATTCCATAGTCTTAGGGTAGCCTTGAATAGGTAGCTTTGATGCTGATTGCTTTCTCTACAATCCAGAAAAATCTCCTTTCTTAGAGGTATTTTTAATGGCAAGAAAACGCGTTTCCAAGGTGACTTTTATCGATGGGCAGGAAAACGTTCTTGCGTGGTTTGCTTTGTAAGACCTCGTGGCGGTTTTTCAAAATTCTCAAATTACCCATTTGGACTGTTTATTTCCCTTCCACCAACACCACCATTTTTAAAAACTGTAATTAAAAACGAAAGCAATTCTGGCTGTGGCTTTTGCAGAAAAGTTTTCTGTTTTTTTGTTCCGACTCCTTCAGACCTTGCAAGTTCAGTAGGATGGTGTATTTTAAAACTGATGCCATTTTTATTAGGCTGACAGCTGCGGTTCTCTGCTTTATGTTCCTCCCCCCCTTGAACCATAGTCTGGATTTCATTATTTTTCCGTGCAATTACTACTAAATATTCCCCACCCCCGACTTCCCTTGGACGTATTGCATCAGTTACTGCAAGAATTGCTGTCGCTTTATTTTTTTATTATTATTTTGTTTTGATTCAAGCTGTTTGGAGCACCCGTCCCCGCCGACTGTTGCTTGCCAAGGATTCCTCGAGTGTGATCTCTTCACCGCAGAGATGGCGATGTTTCGGTGGTCGGGAGGGACTTTCGGCTGGCCTCGGGACGGTGGGAGGCGACATGTGTAGCTCTAAGGAGCACCAGTGGAACATTCTGCGACCTGTTTTGATCGGCGAGCCGGTCAGAATTTGACTTATTTTTCTTTTCATCTTCTGGTGGCGCTTGAAAGCCAATCATCTCCTTTGTGATGAAGCTGCTAATGGGGACGCGGATTCCCCGCTGTCAGTTTCTGCAGGCGGGCTGTGAGCTTCCCCTTTGTTTAGAAAGGGGGTCGTCGATTGCACTTTTTTCTGAACTTCTGGGCTGGAAATTGCGATAGCGGAGAGTTTTCGAAAGGTAGTCTCGCTCCCGCAAGCGTAAACCAAAGGCCTACCTCTTGATAACTGCAGCCTGGAGAGAAAGAGAGAGAGAGTGCATGTGTGTTGCGTGTGTTGTTATTGTTGTTTTTGTTTTTAAAAAGGAAAATGTATCTTGAAACAGCTTTGGGCCTTAAAGAAAACAAAATTCACCATTTTTTTTTTTTTAGAAAATGCTGTAACTTTATTCCTAGGTATGCCGGAGTCTTACTAAGCTGTTTTCCCACGTCCTTTCAACCCAGACTCCCTCCCCTCCCAACTCCCAAATTCCGGGTCCAGGACAATAGCAGTAACACACATAGCAGGTTGTCGGGTAAGCCAGGCTCTCATACCAAGCCAAGTGTCATTGCTGGGGATCGACAGCCTGTTAGAGGATGTCCTTAAGAACAGCCAGCCTAGAAGGTCCTTCTCTTTAGAAATGGGGGGGGGGCTTCTCCTTGCACGTTCCCCTTGCGCCTTGCAAGCAATGGGGGCCAAAAGAGGCCGCAGCTGGTTTGCAGGCTGAAACCGCAGTGAACCCAGGCTGCTCTTGTGAGAGATTTCTGCTGCCTCAAACTCACCTATTTAAAATGCATGCCTTGAACCATGCTGCAAGTATAGCAATTCGAAAGCAAAAATCCTATCTTATCTATATATTTCAGAATGAAAAGCAGTTTTTAATAAATTACTTGAATTGTCAATTGTATGTATGTTTGACATAGCTGAAATGGAAATCGCCTGGCTGGCATCTCTTGGGTAGTTTGATGGCATCTCCTGTTTGTTTTCTTAGCTCTCCATCAATTTACATATTTTTACCTCCGTAGGTGGGCGGGGGGGGGGGCGTGGACAGGGTTTGCATAGGCTTTTTAGAGGCCACGAGGATTTCATGAATGCTCATTTTATATACAGGGTTTCACAAACTGTTTTTTAAATGTCTGAGGTCCCCCTCAGGTCCCCCACCCCTCCAAAAAAAAAGACAACTATTTGGTGCATTTTGTTTGAAACTTCTTTTCAGACCATAGTATAAGACTACTTAAGCAATCCAGTTATTGGGGGGGGCAGGGGGAGAAAAAGGAAAACCTTTCAGGAGCTTGTAGCCAAGAGAGCCCTCGCTCTCCACCTAAACGGAAAGTCTTCTTTCACTACACATACGACTTTTTTATTTTTTGAAAAACTACTCCACGACATTAATTTGAGATAGGTGTTCTCTGCATAAATTGCACCTTGTTCTACGAGGACCCCACTTCATCGCTCTCGAAAGCGTGTAAAAATAGGAAGCTGCCACTTGCGGCAAAAATCCTGCCTTACGCTTTGAAGAGAAGGCGAAAAGGGAAGACTCTCAAACGCCTCAGTTGGATCTCTCCCCTTGATGCAGTTTGAAGGTCACCCATTCGGCCCTGACATTTATTTTCCTTGAAAGCTCTCTCTCTCCCCCCCCCCTTTGACTCTGCCTTGATCTGCTCGAACTATTGAGGATGAGGAAGGCAAGTGTTTATTTTCCAAAAAGGAAAAAGCTTTCTTTTCAGAGGACTCAAAAGCTTATTTTTAGAAGAGCACATCGAAATTTGGAGGCAGTTCCTTGGTTCCTACGAACACTCGCTTTCTGACCAGCTCTGCAGTTGTGGGGTCACAATTTTCGCGTCACTGTTGGCTCTGCCGGAATCTGAAACTTGATCATGCATTGTAGTGCCAGGAGAAAATGGGCAGGTCTTGGTGAACTTTCTGATCTTTTGGACCCTTGTGAAGAGAACATGGGCAAACGAGAGATTTAGCCTTGTAGCAGGGCTTAAACCCTCCTCAACATTTATGCCATAGAATTCTGAATAGCATTTCCCTTCCTGCGCTCTAGAATTTACTCTTTAGGGCTTCTGAACTGCAGCCTCCAAGACGTGCTGCTGTCTGTCGAGAGATGCAAAGAACTCGGAGCAAATGAGCCTCGATGAGCCCAGAGCCAAGGCGGAAAGAGCAAGCCCCAAATTCTGTCTGGGAGCCAGTCGTGTTTTCCTCTTTGTAGATGCATTTAGTGTCTTGGTGCCGACTCATTAAATCCCAGCACGGGATCATCATCGTTCCTATTTGCCTTCTTCAGATGCTGAAGTTCAAATTCAATTGAGCAGAACTGAATTGGGAAACGTCTTGATTTTGGAAAGGTAGAGGGAGCTATCGGTATGCTTTCTTTGCCGGCTGTGAAAGCTGTTTAGACATGCCATAGGAAGGCATGAGGCAGATCTAAGGCCAACACACCCTGGAATTGTAGGTCTGGTTTTGGCTTGGGGGTCTCTGAATCCCCCACATCCCAACAACCCCACCATTTCCAGGGTTCTTTAGGAGAAGCGTCAGCCGCTGAGTTTTTTACATCATGAGCACACACATCTCATTCTTTCATCTGTCTCTTACAAAGCATACTGTTAGAATGGGACATTTCCTTTTCCTCGCTGATTTTGAGACGTTGCACCTTCAACCAAATCTTTGTGGAGCGTCTGGCTCACAGACACGTTTAACACCCTGAAAATCTTCTGTAGTTGCCATCAGATATCTGGTCACATGGGCAGCATTTATTGGACTTTGTAGGGCTTGATAGGGTTATATGTAATCTTTTTTTTAAAAAAAGAAATCACACGAATTGATTTCCTGTGGCAATATCCAGCTGGACTTCAAGCTTGTATATTTATGACGGCTTGTGGAGAGAAAAGCAATAACCTCTTCCTCCTGATTTGCACGTGGGGATTTGAACCCAAATACTCTTTTTGATACTCTGGTCTTCCCCCTGCCTATTCCGTCAGCCAGGCTTTCTTCAAGATTCCCAACCGCACCATGTGGGCAACTGATCCTCCTCTTTCTGTCTTAGGAGACGAGGCTGTTGGGAGATTGGAAGACCCGTGTGATTTTTCAGTGTGCTTTTTACTTTCGGCCATTCCATGAAAGTGGAGGATAAGAAAGCTCTCTTTAAAGGACCGGTGAATGAGGCTTGCCCCATCACCATCTTGTCTCTGCCGGGAATGTCTGTTTCCTTTTCTTCCTCCTTGTCGGTTCCTATGGATGAAACCTCCGGCGAAGGGTCCCTAGGCTGGATTTTCCAGAAGGCAAATCTTAGCCAGGATACGGGAGGATAGCATCAACTGCCCTGAGTTCCAATTTTGAATTCATTCTGCTGAAACCCGTTTGAGAAGGCTGCGGCAGAAGAGCTGCAATTGCTGGTCTGCAATCCAGAATCAGACCATATCATGAGAGTGGCAAATAACCTCATCTGACTGCATGGAGTCATAATCTTGAAAGGCAAGTTAGTGCCACTCGTTCTGATTTCTGCGGTCTTTAAAGGCAGCTTTCGATACCCATTTTAAGTCACACTCTTGTGCTGCAGAGGGAGGGGGCAGTGAAGCTGTTATGCTGCAAAGCCAAAGCTTGACCCATCCCTCCACCCCAAAACAGAGCATGATAACTAAAACCCAGCAGAGTATTTCTTCTTTGCAGCTCAATTTTGGGAGCTCACCTGCGCGCCTGGCATTCTTCTGGTTCTACCTTTTCGCCATTCAGTCGCTGGAATGCTTTTTTCTTTATTTTAAAAATGAAAAGGGGTTGGGCCTGGTTAAGGATTAATTAAAACGGAACGGGTTGGGCCTCGTTCTGCTGCTGTTGTCACTGTACATTGAAACATGGTGTTCCCTGCCCTTTCCTTCTGTCTGCTAGCAGGATGCAATCAGCTCTGACTTAGATCCATTCGTTGCTTCTTACACAACCCGAAATCTTGCATGACTCCCCGCGTAAGCACATGTAGCAACTTTTGAGTACCTGAAGTGTCTTTTTGTGGGGGGGGGTGATTTGGTTTTTATTCATTTGCAGATATCCCTTGTGTGTGCCCCCCCCCCCCCCCGGTTAATAGGCCAAATAAATGTAACAAGACACAAAAAATATTGCACAGAAATGGGGAAAAGTGACTTGGGAAGAAAGAAAGAAAAGGATACCAAATTTCACCTGTGTGTGTCTTCTCCTAACTACGGATTCTTAAACGTGCAGGTTTTGTCATTTAAACAGCCAAGCTACAAGGTTTTTAAGACTGCATTGAGGGAGGAATGCCATTTGCAAAACGGAACAAAAAGAAGCAGATATTATCTACCCAGAGTTCTGTGGTTCATGTTGCTCCCATAATAAAAAGTTTTACTGAGGATGTGTCTTCTGCTGAAACACTTGTTTATGCCCCCATTTTATTTTATTTTATTGAGGAAGGGTCTCGGAGACACCCACATGAATTCCAGGAGCATAGAGTTCTTACATGTACAACTTCCTTGTGGCAGTTAAATTCAGAGGGGGAGATGGTTTGGCTTTAATTCAAGAGTCAGGTGACACTTGGACCTTAGATGGGATGAATTCTTCCTTTCAGCAACTTCTGACAAGTAGACTAGCCCTAAGGTGCTGGTTTTGTTTTTTCAAGTTGCCGGAATAATTCCTGGGTGCGGAAAACATGCTGTGCAAATTCTCTGCGCGTGTTCAAGGTGGTCTTTGCTAGAAGCTGAGAAGAGGCTTCTGCACAGTTTGTAGACCAGACCACCTTTGATCAAGGGCGTTTTTATGATCCGTTTCCAGATCTGCTCTACGAGAGCAAAGGCTAAATCCACTGCCCGAGGGCTCCGGTATCTTTTGGGGGAAAACAAACAGTTGCCTAAGAGGGAGAATTCCAACCACTGCAAATTCTCTCACTATACACAGCTGTGGAACAAGCAAAAGCAGCTGGAATTCCTTCTAAACACATCTCTCTTAAGATTCAGTAAATTTCTCTCCATGTGCACCTAAAAGCTCTGATGCAATAATTTGAGGAATCATCCTGGAGTTACAAAATGATACCTGGTAGGTCTTGCAGGCATCCTCGTCTGATGTGTAAGAGAACAGGGCATGCATACCATGTTGCTTTCTGATAAAGGGGCATTGTAGAGGTTATGCATTTTTCAGATAGTTGCCAGTAAATTAACTTCCTATGAAAAGCGCCCAGGTAAATAAAACTCGGGGGGGGGGGGATGACAATGTAAACTCCTTTTCTTCTTCTGGTCACAAAATAGCTAACTTCATTGATCAAGTGTCAAGTGTCCAATTTCATAAAATTAGAACCCAGAAAATATCAGCTCTGTCCGGCTTGGCCATCACCCGAGTTAGCATTGACTTTTAGTTCTGTTTTGTTTTTAAATTCGATAGAAGCATGACCTCCTCCTGGGTAATACAATTTGATCATCTGATCTTTCCTACGCTGTGTACTTCGTTGTTGTTGTTGAATTTCTGCTGCAACATGGACCTGAAACCTTCTTGGTAGCCAAATGGCCAGCTTGAATATTAAAATAAAATAAAATAAATGCCTCCCCTAGTGAAAAGCTGCGTATAGGCATCTCTTAATGAAAAAAAATATATAAGTAAATATATATATTTAGTTCCATTGTGAACTGGCCATATGACAACTTCTTGTTTATCAACTTATTAAGTTGGGGCAGTATACTAGCTCTTGCTGAGTTTAGCAATGTTTATAAGTGTGTGTTAAACACATAAATGTTTCGAGTTTAACGAGGAAAAAGGGATAAATAAGAAATGTGACCGATGAATGTGTCTGAGTGGATTAGATGGCAGAATGTTCTGGGATTTGATTTTGACACAGAGCTTTCTTTTTCTGGTTTTCAAGGTAAAGACTTGTTGCATGAGAAACAGTTTAACTGTTCTGCACTTTTGGTCTCTTTGTAATTTCCCCCCACACCCACCCATTTATGGATAGAAATGGCTGAATGTAGAGTTTAAAAGAGAAAAAACAAACAAACCACTATTTCACATTTACATGTGTTCAATCCATTGTTCTACAGTTCAATCTTAATAAACATTTCAATATGAGCCGGTGGATCTGGGTTTTTGTGTTCGTGGAGAATGGGAAATAAGTCAGTCTTGCTCTTGCATAAATCTAAATAATTGGATGCACATAGAATTTAAGAGAGCCAGCCCATTCTAGCCCTAGTTCCTCTCCAAATCTGTCTGCTAATGTTTCGGTTCCTCTTCCTTGTCTTCTGATACACAGCCCCTTAGTAATAAGAAGATGGGGAACACCTGGCTTACTAGCAGTACATGCGGGAAAGATCTAGGAGTCTTAATAGACCACAAGCTGAACATGAGTCCACAGTGTGATGCAGCAGCAAAAAAAAGCTAATGCTATTCTAGGCTGCATCAACAGAAGTATAGTGTCCAGATCAAGGGAAGTAATAGTCCTGTTCAATTCTGCCTGGGTTGGACCACACTTGGAATATTGTGTCCAGTTCTGGGTACCACAAATTAAGAAGGATATTGACAAGCTGGAATGCGTGCAGAAAAGGGCAACCAAGATGATCAGGGGTCTGGAAACCAAGCCTGATGAGGAATGGTTGAAGGTGTTGGGTATGTTTAGCCTGGAAAAGAGGAGAGTGAGAGGAGATATGAAAGCCATATTCAAATATCTCAAGGGCTGTCACACAGAAGAGGGAACAAGCTTGTTTTCTCCTGTTCTGGAAGGTAGGACTTGAACCAATGGATTCAAGTTAGAAGAAAGGAGATTCTGACAGTAAGAGCTGTTCAACAATGGAACCTCAGGAGGTGGTGGGCTCTCCTTCCTTGGAGGTTTTTAAGCAGAGGTTGAATTGCCATCTGTCATGGATGCTTTTGTTGAAATTCCTGCATTGCAGGGGGTTGGACTAGATGACCCTGGGGTCCCTATTCCAGGATTCTAGGTTCCTAGGCCTGGCATGAAATGTTACTGCACCTTTGTACAAACTAAGGCCGCAGTAATGCTCTCTCTTTCCTCACTTCCTTCCACTACCCCTGGGAAGTGGAAGGTGGTTTCAGACATTACACAAGGAGCTTGGAAGAATAATAATAATAATATTTATACATACATACATACATACATACACACATGGTTTCCCCAGCCACTCTGGGTGGCTTCCAACAGGATATTAAAATACAGTAACCTGTTAAACATTAAAAGCTTCCCTAAACAGGGTGTGCACTGTTCCTTCGCAGGTTCATTCCACCCCCACGTCCTCCCTGCTTCCATCTAAAGTCCAAAGTCATTCCTCTTCTTGTTGCGCAGCTGACTCTCCCGGCCTTTGAAACTGTAGATGCAAACAAAGGACAGACAGCCATGTCCACAGCACTGAAAACTCGCACCGCCAAGGAGCAGGAAAGCTGCCTGTCTGGTACTCAAGCTGTTTGTGGCTGCTTGTGTGTGGCAGCAGCCCAAGAACTCCTTCCTCCCTTCTCACTAGCTACACCATTTGACATTTGTCTGTGCCAAGTGAGCAGTTACAATGCTCACATATACAAAATGCTGGCGTGAAAGTGGCGAGCTCTACTCTGTTGACATCCCAAGGCATCTTGGGAGGCATCTGGGCTCACTGGGCAAGAATCGCCACCTCTGGGCCTACAGCAGACAAACGGCGCTGACGACTTCAAAAAAAGTCGGGTTCAACGAGACAAGACTCCCAGGGATGCATGGTTAACAAAGTCTCAGAAACAAGTCTTTTAATCTGCATCAACCAGCTGTTTCCAAATTAGAAGCCCCCAGCAAACGGGCTTTACTGAGAGCTTTAATTTGATTTTTGTATTCCAGGTTGATGCACGCACACCCCACTCGGCCAAATGATCTCCAAGGCTGCATACAAAACCCTCGAGCAATGCAGAAGGGGGGGGGGACCCTACCCAGTGCCCCCTTGATATTGCAGCCCTTCCCTTCAGTTCTGTGATCCAGGACAACAGTCAGGCAGAGCACAGCATTCATGCCATTTGAGAAAAGATTATCGTCATGATACATATTTACACATTGCCTCTCTGACAGGAACACAAGGTGGCTTACAGATTAAAGAAAAAGAGCAGCCTTTATTAGTATGCCCCGCAAAGGACCTTAAGGTCCATGAATAATCATAGTTTAGAGGTCCCAGGCCCTAAGGAAGTCAGATTATCCTCCACCAGGGCCAGGGCCTTCTCAGTGATGGCTCCGACCTGGTGGAATGCTCTGTCCCAGGAGACCAGGGCCCTGCAGGATTTAAACTCCTTCCGCAGGGCCTTTAATTTGAATTCAGCCTGATCTTTTATTCCCCTTCCTTCCCTTCCCTCCCCCTTCCCTTTTATGAAGAATGCCTGCTCTGGGATCCCACAGCTAATTCTCCCCTGGTCTCCTCGCTGGCCCAAGTAGGACTAATTTAGCCAGCTAGCTCTGGTGATCATCTGATGTTTATTGGATGGATTTTCCCCCTAAATTGATTTTTGAATTCTGAATTTATTGTTAATCACATTTTATACTGTATTTTATGCTGTTTTTTGTTGCATCAATTAAGTATTTAAAATTTGTTGATAGCCACCCTGAGCCCAGTTTTCTGAACCAGGAAGGGCGGGGTATTAAAATAAAATAAAAAGCATTGGCGTAAGCCATTCATTTAAAAGCGAGCACTGATAGAATTAAAACTACACACACACACACACACACACACACACACACAACACAAACACACATTAAAAGTCTATTAAAACCATCCAAGTGATTACAGATAAAAATCAACAGCACAGCTTTTTCACTAAAAGCAGTCCGTCCCCAAATGCATGTTGGAACAAGGAGGTCTTTGACTGCCTGCAGAAGGACAACAAGGAAGGAGCCAGTCTGGCTTTTCTGGGGAAAGAGTTCCCGAGTGTGGAAGCGGCCACGGAGAAGGCCCTCTTCTATGTGAGCATGAAACTCTTAATCTCAGGGTTGTGGATTCGAAACCCACTTAGGGCAAAAGATTCCTGCATTTTAGAGAGCTGGACTGGGTGATGCTCACAGTCCCTTCCAACTCTACAATAATAGAATTAGCTTGGACCTAAGCTGCAGAGGGGACGCGGGTGGCACTGTGGGTTAAACCACAGAGCTAGGACTTGCCGATCAGAAGGTCAGTGGTTCAAATCCCCACGACGGGGTGAGCTCCCGTTGCTCAGTCCCTGCTCCTGCCAACCTAGCAGTTTGAAAGCACGTCAAAGTGCAAGTAGATAAATAGGTACCACTCCGGCGGGAAGGTAAACGGCGTTTCTGTGCGCTGCTCTGGTTCGCCAGAAGTGGCTTAGTCATGCTGGCCACATGACCCGGAAGCTGTACGCCGGCTCCCTCGGCCAATAAAGCAAGATGAGCGCCGCAACCCCAGAGTCAGCCACGACTGGACCTAATGGTCAGGGGTCCCGTTACCTTTTTAAGCTGCAGAGGGCTTGATAGGACAGAAAACCAAGTCCAGGTTGTGCCCTACAGCACAGAGGGTTCCAGGGCTTTTTTTTCAGCCAGAACGCCACCTCTTTGGGGAATTGCAGCACCTCTTTGTAGCCAGAGCTGCGCTCAGAGGCTTCAAGCTGCATACCACTCTTGGCTTTGTGTCAGAGGCTGTGGGGCAGCACGTCAGAGGCGATGTAGTAATGTGGCCGCGGCGATGCTGGCGGCGGGGCAATCAGGCGGAGAAGGGTCCGCCCCCTCCAAAAAAGCATTCCCCCCCTAAAAAAAGCTCAGCAACTTTGGCTCCCCCTAAAAAATACTCGACAACTTAGGGTTGTCCGTCCAAACAGAAGTGAGAGTTCCTGCACCTCTTTTTCTAGGGGGGGGGAGGCATTGGATAGGTCCATAAATTACTTGGGACAGACCCCACACTGAGGGATCCCAAACACTCCTGGAGGGTACCAGATTGGCGATCTGGTGCTTCCCACAAGCCCTAGCTAAATTACAGTAACGAAGGCAGTAGCAGCCAAAGAGGCTGACTCATTTCTGCCTGGCCAGATGCACAGGTGACGTCAGCCATGCACTTGTTTAAAATGAATGGGCATGTGATGATGCTTTGCACAATAGGCCCTGACCTAGTATGGCGGAGAGCTGTAGCCTTGGCCCTCCCTGCTCTCTGTTTAGGGGAACATTCACTCAACTGCTCTTGACTCATGGGACCGGATTTCATCCCGTAATTCCAGGCTTCTGTCCATTCAATTTTTTTATCGGACGCTTTTCCTTTAATTTTGAAGCCATGATGCAAAACCTTTTATTATTTTAGCCCAGGGAGCAGCAGAAAAGAATGGAGGCTTTGAACGCGATGCAGCAGTTCCTTTTCCTAATAGCTGCCATGCAGCGTTTCCTGAGACGCCAGACCCGAAAAACCTCTGCTGTCACTCCTGAAATGGCCAGCTGTGGAAACAGCCTCATTGTGATGTGAATTTTGTACCATAACAATGAGCGGCCTCTGCTGAGAGCTGGTGTAGACCAGTCGCTAAGGGACGCAGATCAGGCAGAGCTGCACCTCTGTGCTTTCAATGAAACGTTAGGAGGAACTTCTTAGCACTGTTTGACAATGGAACAGATTGCTTTGAGAGTTGGGGTCCTCTCCTTTGCTGTATGTAGTATTTCGGTGGCACGATGCACATTTCTCAGAGACACGATAATTGCTTCCTGCACTGCAAATCCCACTTTGACACCAGGAGGGTTGACTTTAGGTGACCTCCAAGTCCCCTTTCAATTCTGTGACTGGAAGACTAAGTTGGAGAGGGCGAAAATATTGATGGGCACGTATCAGCAATGAGTTGGGGAGGATAGAATTCTGACAGTTCTTTTTGACACTACAGCATCAAACAGGGAGCATGGGAAGTTCCTCCCTTGGTAATGTACACATAATAACCTTGGCAACCAAGTGCTTGGCGAAGAAGAAGAATTTTAATAATAATGCCCCAGCCACTCTGGGAGGCTTCCAGCATATATAAAAACAGAATAAAACATTAAAGACCTTCCCTATACAGGGCTGCCTTCAAATGTCACCTAAAGGCATCATCTCCTCAACACCTGATGGGAGGGCGTTCTACAGGGCGGGCGCCAC